CTCTCTCTCTCTCTCTCTGCATGTCTCTCTCTGGTCAAATTAAAACAAAGTGAATAAATAAAATTAAATAAATAATTTTTTAAAAAGCTGAACCAAAGTGATGCCATTTAAAAAAAAAATGGGCCTTTTCAAGTGCTGAGTTTTTTCTGCTGTGCTATTTTCTTTTCACCTCTGCTAACTACCAAATGTTATCGTTGTTCACTTTTCACCTCTGCTAACTACCAAATGTTATCAGTTTCTTTAAAAAATGTAATTTAAAGATTTGGAGATGACAATTTCTTTTTAAAAAAATGTAATTTAAAGATTTGGAAATGGGGACCAGCAGTTAGCGTAATGGCTATGTCGTTGGACTCCCACGTAGTCGACTGCGGTTCAAGTCCTGGACCCGGTGGCTTAAACTTATGCCGGGTGCGTGTGCGTGTGTGCCCAAGATCCCAAGAGGAGAATGGAGGAGAAGGGATTGCAGCGTGGCCATCCCTCCCGGGGGGTGATTTCTCACTTTCTGTCTCTCTATCTCTGTCTGGCAAGCACACACGCCCTGTGGCAAAAAAAAAACTCTCACAAAAAAATGTAAAAAAAAAAGATTTTGAAATGAAAGTGCTGAGTTGAGCAGTATAGATGTCCTAAACTAAAAACAAAAGAGCAAGAAAGAAAAAGAAAAAGAGAAAGGAAGGAAGGAAGGAAGGAAGAAAGAAAGGCACGCACTGGCTTATGGCGTGTCTGTCCCAGAGGCTGTGCTAACTCTGCAGTAATGATCTTTTAAAGAAGTGTCTTCCCTCAGTCACTCGGTTTGGTCAAGCCTTTCGCTGGTGGTGATTAGGACAGTGAGATTTATGCTTATCACATGGTGAGTTCTTCCTCATCTTCTATTCTCTTATTTGGTTAGCTAGTTAATTAAACTTCAATATAATTACCTAATTCACTGTGCTCATTTTATAAAATAATTTAGCACCTTGTTTTTCAGAGCTGTCAGGAAGCAGAAGCAAAGAAAAAGCAGTAAGATGAAAACAGAGACCACGGCAGGACAGTCCATGAATCATGCAGCTGTTACAAGGAGAATGAAAAGGAGGGAAAGGGCCCATCAATATCTTTGCTCTTAAATGTCCAGTGCTTTGAGAATAAGAAAGATTTACAGTCCAGCCTTTGATGCCATTTTCTGAAAGTGCCACCCCGGACTTAAATTCAGTCACTGCCTTTCTCACCTAGGTCACAGGCATTTGCTGGTTGGTGGTCGCCTCTCCTGGCCCTCAGGACACGCAGGGAGCTGTTCCATCCTTAGCTGGTTTCCTGGCCTGCTCGGTGTACTTTTCCTTTCTGTTATTAAATCTCTACCAGTTACATGATTTTAGCCTATTTCATCCGAAAAATGGGCATACGACATTCTTTCCGAGATGTTGGAAGAAAACGAACGTGAAAACCCGTGAACTTCTGTTTACATTGAACATAAAATTGTGTCCATTTAGATAAGAAGTTCTTTTGTGTTCAATATCAAATGGCGGTTCAAACTCCACTTGAAAAGTACAATGTACAATTGATTTTGGACTGAATCCGGAGATGATGGAAAAGAATTTTTGCACAGACACTAAAGATAGAAAAGATTATGATTATAGTTAATTATTAAATATTTAATCTTCAAGTACTATTTTGCGGTTGTCGTTCAGGGGTACGGAATCACAAGAGGAGCCACAGGAACTCCGTGTTAACGCCAACACCACAGGTTAGAATACTGGAGACTGGCCCGTAGCTTGTTTTCTTTGTCTGGCACAAGTTTTGCGTAGTACTTAGCTTGCAGGAACTAGTCATCGTGTTGTCGAGACGTTGTAGCCACCAGAGGGCCCAGAACTAGGAAGCAGATGTGCTCTCGGAAGATAAGCTGCTGCTCTGATGCTGTGGCCCAGCCACAGCTGGAAGATAATGACTGACATCAACAAGTCTCCGTCAGAGGACCCATCGCATTGACGACGACCTGGTCTGCTGGGCCAGACAGCACGCAGCCTCCTCTTTCTTTCCCTGTGCTGTCCCTTGTGAAAATTCTTTCATGGAGCCAGAAGATGGTGTAATGGTTATGTCGCCGGACTCACACATAGTCAACCACGGTTCAAGTCCTGGATCTGGTGGCTTACAACTCAGGCTGGGCACCCATGCATGCATGCTGAAGATCCTGAGAGGTGAATGGAGGAGAAAGGATTGCAGTGTGGCCATCCTCCCTTGGGCGGGGGTTGCAGTGTGGCCATCCTCCCTTGGGCGGGGTCTTGTGGTGATTTCTTACTTTCTGTCTTTCTGTCTCTGGAGCACACGTGCACTATAGCAAAAATCTCTCAAAGTCTTTCTTGTCAGACCAGGACTTGGGAGATGGTCTTTGGATGTTGGTCTCCCTTCTTCCCAGGTTGCTGGATTTCTGAATGAAGATACCTTTCTTTTCTACCAACACTTGTCTCATGAATATTGCCTTTTGAGGGACCAGCAGTTAGTGTAATGGCTATGTCGCTGGACTCCCATGTAGTTGACCATAGTTTGAGCCCTGGACCCGGTGGCTTAAACTCACACCAGACGCGTGTGCGTGTGTGTGCCCAAGATCCCAAGAGGAGAATGGAGGAGAAGAGATTGCGGCATAGCCATCCCCCTTGGGGGTGATTTCTCGCTTTCTATCTCTCTGTCTCTATTTTTCTGGTGAGTGCACGCGCCCTATAGCAAACAAACAAACAAACAAAAACTTCTCCAAAAAAGAAAAAAGGAACATTGGCTTTTGAGTGTCAAGCAGTCGAACTCAGTTCAGTGGAGGGTTCCGGCCACAGGTTCTGACCAGCCAGCCAGGAGGGGGGCATTCTCCAAAGCTCTCGCTCCCTTGGGCCTCACCCATTGGCTTTCTACACGAGCAGCTATGATCGCATGGAGGTGCCAGCTGCTCGTGGCTAGCTGTCCCTGGGGCGGTGGTTTTAGGGACAGGACCAAGCTGCGGCCAAAACTTTGTTTTCATTTCAGGGAATCTCACTTTTCCCCCTGCCTGGTGTCAGCTGCCGACTGCACTTCATGGTTGGTGAAGAGGAAATGAGCCTTGGAATGAGCCGAGGCGCTCTTGGACTGCATGGGTCTGCTGGCGTGCACGCCCGGAGCCCTCTTAACTGCCATTTGGGCCGTTTGGGCCAATTTGTGGCACCACTGGTGAGAGAAATGACTTTTAGTGACTCCATAGCAGTCTCTCCCTGGCGGGAAGTTTAGCATAGGAGTTACCATATTCATCTATTTGTTGGTTTGGGGGGGGAGAATCTTTGTCCCCTCCTAAGAGTCCATTGGGACAAATAACTCAGAAACATCTAAAATTAAGGAGAACGAGAATGACTTCCTTCTGGTACCCCAGTTTGTTGCCAGCGTTTGGGTTGGTTTGTTTTATATTTCATTTTCAGCCAAGTTTTTGTAAGTTGCCAGCTGGTTGTCTCTTGAGCCTGGAGGGTTTTTTCCCTAAAGTGAAAAGAGACTAGACTCTCCGTGTCTGTTTAGCTGGTCTCTTTTGTGTGTGTGTGTGTCTCTAAGTGATGTTACTCTGGATTCCTTCTTGTGAGGATTCATGTTTGCAGAAAGCTGGTTTGTCGGTCCCAGCTAAGTGGTGGAAGCGATGTGCATTTGTGTTTAATGTCTATGTGTTTTTATTTTGTTGCTTTGGTACCAGCTTTTGCTGCGGATAAAAGCTCTCAATGTCAGCTGAAAGTCCTCTGGGGGGTACGGGGACACTCGAGAATTGGGGCCAGAGCATCAGCTGGGTTTAGGGAGATGGTCACTGGACATTCGTCTGCGAATAAAGCTACTTTTCCTTTTCACCCGCACTTGTCTTTTGACTATCGGCTTTTGAGCAGCAAGCAGCCGGAGTCCAGTTCAGGACCAGTGTCCTCTGGTTACAGTTTCCATGTCTTTTAATCTCTGCAGTAAGTTTCTCTCTTTGTAAAACTAGTAGCAGAGGGCAAAGTAGTTTGGTGATTTAACCTCTCCTGGCCCTTCTAACTCATGCTTCCTGGCTGTGTGGCTTGGGTTATACTTCCTCTTAGAAAGTCCAGTTTCTTCATTATTACAGCGGGGAGAACAAAAGCTAGCCTCAGGTTTGCTCGTGGTTAAATGAAATGGGGCTCCACGCCTGTCTCAGTTCTCTGTACTCCCGCGTTATGTTAACAAGTGCTTAGCTCCTGGGCCTCGTGGGAATCACCTGTTGACCCAGTAGTAAGACACTGGAGGGAGTAGTCTGAACGCCTGGACAAATAGTTCTTCTTCCCATTTTTCTGCTACATATCTGATATCTCTTTATGATTGGATAGTTTGGGGGTCTGGCATGTGGCATGGTGGTTAAGGTGCTGAACTCCCACATGGCCAATCCTGATTCGAGTCCCAGACCTGGTAACTTGCTTTCTCGTTTTCTTGCTCGCTCTCTGTCAAATTAAATAATAACAATAATATAATTAAATAAACAGTTCTTTAAAAACAATTATAAAAAAGTTAAAAGAAATGAAATTGGATAGCTTGGGGCTAGCAGGTGGCATGATGGTTAAGGTGCTGGACTCCCACCTGTTGATCACGGTTTGAGTCCCAGACCTAGTGGCTTGGTGCCCAAAATCCCAAGAGGAGAATGGAGGAGAAAGGGTTGTGGCATCACCATGTGGGACTTCAGGCACCTTCACCACCAGGCCATCAACCTAAAGAGTCGTAGTAGACACTGGCTTCTATCCAGCAGTGACTCTCTTGTGGGTTTGCCATGCTACTTGCACACAGCCAGGACCAAGAACTGGTTCAGAGACTTGTCCCGGGAGGCGCTAGCGGGTCAGGCCGGAAGTTAACCTGCCTTGGCACCTGCCCGGCTCCCAGGCCTCAGCCCAGACCTTTCCCGCAGGGACTTGGCGGAGAACCGGGACCTCACGCGCGTCCCCGCCTGCGCCGCGCAGCGCCTGAACGCGCGCCC